GACCCTCCTCCAGCCTCCTGAGCTGCTGAGGGCCTCCCCGGGATCCTGCCAGCCCCAAGTGGGGGGAGCCAGGACCCAGGGCTCGCTGACTCAGGGCTTCTCCCCAGGCCACTGCGCTCCCACGCTGGCACCCCAGGCTGCCTGATCACTGTTGACCCTTCAGAGCCCTGGCGCTCTCTCGCTGTTTGCTCAGGCATGGCTGGATCTCCCTTTCTATTTTGAACCTGGTTTGTTGAATTTGGGACCCCTCTGTGCTGTGAACCCAAGTGGTCTCTACGTCAAGTGAGGCCAGTTAGGAAGCCCACCAGCCTCCTCCTTCCCTGCAGCAGGGTGGACCTGGAAAGGTCTGACCGCCTGGTGGGAGGGAGGGTGGAGAGGTCACAGGACCCCAGAGTGGGGACTCGGCCTCATGTTTCCCCTGGAATGTGGTTCCCACGGGCTCTGGGGCCATTCACTGGCCTGTCTTCCAGGATCCAGAAAGGACACAGGGAACAGAGGACAAGACTTCTTAGTTGCTCATCTGGCAGAAGTCCCTGCCCCTGACCAGCGGTTCTTGTCAGCAATGCCTGAGTTCTTGGTGTTCCTGGGAGCTTGGTGCATGGCACAGGAGGTGGTATTGGCAGGGTGGCTGTCCCCCAACCGACGTGGCACACCTCTGGCGCTCCAGGGGTTAAATGCTGGTGGCTGCACACACTCACACACTGTGTGCTTGTGGCTTCCTGCAGCTGCTTGTAAAATGCAGTTTAAAAATTCACTGTGTGGGCTGATTTTGCACAGCCACCAGCTTGAAGCTCAGGGCTGTGTGCACGCCTGGTTCTGTACGGGTTTGCCTGAGCATCCTTGGTGTGCAGGCCGCTGGGCTGGGGTTCCGGCTTGTGGGGAGTCTGGGGTGTTGACATGGGCCAGGCAGAATGGTGACAGCCGTCCCCGTTGGGGTCTCTGACACCCCTCACCTGGCTGGAGTCCCTGAGGAGCTTCACATAGTCTTTGGCATCAACAGTCCTTTTTAAAGGGTCTGCTGTGTGGTGATGTTGTTTTCCAGATGTTCTTGAATCGGTTGTGTGCAGCCTTTTAAGGGAATACATGTTTTCAATTTGATCTTGACGTTAACTTAACGATTCTGGGACCTAAAGATCATGGCGAGAGTCCTGTAAGGAGGTTCCAGCCGAGCGTGGTCAGGTGGCCTGAATGCTGCCCCTGGCTGTGGGCTTCACCTCTTTCTTGTGCACTGGTGGCCCAACTTGGGGCAGCGACCTCGTGAAGGCCAGGTGTGTGTGATGCTCAGGAGTGATGGTGGTGCTGCGAGGCCACAGATTGGAGCCGGGCTCCCCTGCACAGGCTGGACCTTGTGCCTGTTGTGGTCGCGAACTGTCCCTTGACCTCGATTGAAGACAATTCCTGGTGTCTTTGGGCCTGAGAGCCATGAGGTGCATCTAAGACCCCACATCACACTAGCACGATCACACAAACCCCAGAGTGTTTCCACACCTTGTCTGGGCGGCTTCCTGGTCGCAGAGGCAGTGGGAGCGTCCCTGGGATTGGTTGATGCCGAGAAGCACAGAGGGGCAAAGCGAGCTGGAGCCGCCTCACGTGCCCTGCTGCTGGCTGGCGCCCTCAGGGATGCCCACTCCTATCATAGGAGGTCTGGCCCGGGGCCCCTGGATTCCTGTGACAGGCCCGTGGTGTCCCAGCTACGCAGATCAGGGCACCGAAGCGCCACATGGCAACACGCACATGCTGGCCGGAGTTGTGTCCCCTCCCCGCCAGGGTCTATGCTGGCCACCTGGCTCCTGTCCCCTCCGCTGCCCTGGGCAGGCACCTGCCCTTGTTTGTCTCAGTGGCTTCCCTGCAACTGAGGACAGGATTAGAGGAGTGTGACCAGGCTCCTCGTGCCAAATTCTGCCCCCTTCACCATCCTTGGACCTGCCCTGAGCACCTCAGGCCCCGGGTAGAGATGGGGCAGGAGTAGGACTTATGTCAGCTCCTGCTGGAGCTGGCAAACCGCAGACTCACCTCTACCTACCATCGGCACGTGGTTTACCACTGACCACGTGCAGTCCCGGTCTCATCTCAACCACCAGGGACCTGTGCGCGGCAGCAGCTTTCTTGTTCCTGCAGGTGCAGGTCCTGGGGCCGTCGCCACGCCCCTACACTGCCCCGCAGTGCTGGGCCACACGGCAGTGTCCAGGCTGTGGTCATGCTAGTGGGTGGAGCTGGGGTGAAGAAGCCTACAGTGACGGGCGGACACCTGTGCCTGCGTCCATGGAGGAGCCAGGCACACTGTGACATTTGGTAGATGTTTATCAAATTGAATCAGGTGGTTTGTACTTGGGCAGGGCTGGGGCTCTGGGGGTCTCCCCACCCCCATGTCGCCTTCTCATCCCACCTCAGCCCAGCTTGTAGCCCAGCATGTCCTGGAGCTATGTGGTACACCATGTACACGCACTGTCACAGCCACGCACACTCACAGTAGCGTGCAAACGTGCAGACGTCAACACTCATGCATGCTCACTCCCAGACACAACCATATTTGGTGCCTCCAGGGGTTGGCTGGTGCTTGGCCCCTATCCCCGAGCTCACCTTCCTGGTGGGCCCAAGCAGAGGCACTGTGTCCACGCTCTCCTCCAGTCGCTGGCCCTGTCTTGGGGGGGGGTCTCTGCCTCGGGAACAGGTGGCTACAGGTGCCTAGCCCGGGGCTGTGTGTGGTCCCCCCAAGGGGTGCATGGCACCCCGCCAGTCCCCACCCCTGTACACGGGACCTTACCAGCTCTGCCCGCTGTCTCCCAGAGAGGCAGGACATGGTCAGGCTTCATGCCAACTCCAACAGGAACACATCTTGGCTACCAGGTGACTCTCTTTTCCCTGGGCTTACGGGGTGCTCAGATCTCTTTTCTCTCCTCCCTCGACAGAAATCTGTGTGCATGATGTGAGTGCTTGGCTTTTGGGAACGCAGTCAGCAGATGCAGGACTGACAGCAAGAATAGCTCAGGGCCTGGGTAGCCAGAGGGGTGCCTGGGATGGCTCAGGGGTGGTGCTCGGGTGTGCGTCCTCCTGGAAGTGGCCGTGGGCCACCAGGCCCTGTGGGGAGGAGGCTGACATGGGTGGCCAAGGCCCCGCTCTGCGACACTCACCTTCCCGCTCATGGGGTTGTGCTGATTAAAGGAGGCACGTCCGTGAAGCTCCTCGTCCTTGGTCAGTGCTCAGAGTGTCCCTGTGGTCATTAGGGTCGGAACAGTCCTAGCAGCTTATGGAACATGGCCCAGGGGCCTGTGTCGGGGTTAGGACTTCCTGTGGGTCGTCAGGGGACTTATTCTGGTTTCTTGTGGGCCCTGGGGGTTCCTTTGTGGCTGTGAAAGGCATTGGCCCCAAGAGAGGACCCCTCTGGGTTGAGCAGTCCTGGAGCAGCCTAGACGTGAGGAGAGGACAGTCCTGCTTCAGGCAGCATCTTGGGGACAGGGTTCGCCAGAAAGTGACCCACTCTGTAGGAGGGACAATCCTCCTGCTCTGTTTGTGTCCACAGCACGTGGTCAGTGCCTGGCACCAAAAACGGTCATTTAGCAAATGTTTGCCTATCCCGTGAGTGTGGCCAGACCACCCACTTCCTCTGCAGACGAGGAGACAGAGCCATCTGCCCAAGGGGCGGGGTCCTGCTTGCCAGTGCTGCTGGGTGGGTGGGCAGCTCTGAGGGTCTCGGGGGGCAGGCACCGTTGCATTCTCCTAGCCCAGAGCTTCCGTTCCATGCGGCGCTGATTTGGGGCAGGTGCTGTGGCTCTGCTGACTCAGTGCCCAGGGCCGGGTCCTGGAATGTTCAGGTGGCTGTGCCCCCTTGGTTGGCAATGTGGTCATGCCCGCTGGTCCTGGTGGCCTTACTTCAGATGGAATCACAGCTCTGTGGAAGCTTCGGGAGCTTTGGGAGAAGGAAGGAGGTAGGAAACATCTGGCGGAGGAGGCAGGAGCTCGGCTGGGTGCCCGCATCTCTGAGCTTCTCCCTCCTGCAGGGCTTCTCTGTCTGCCTCTTTGACAGGGGTGGGTGACAGCAGTTTGGCGATCCCCTGCAGAGAGAGTGCTCAGGGCACGGCCTGACATCAGGTCAACCGAGCATGCAGGTGAGCCTGAGCCGGGCCTCGCAGACATCCCCACTGGAAGTGGCCTTGACAGCCGTTCACCTTTGTGCTGCCACGATTCCAATTTCTTAATCTGCCTTTCGCACACGGACCAGGGGGGCGTCCGCATCCCTAAAGAGTTGCTGCTGTATGAAAACACAGAGGAAGCAAGAGCTGTGTCCCCAGGGCCCCCGGCGCAGCAGGGTGAACCCAGGCCTCTGTGCACTGATTTGGCCGCCCAGGGGAGCCTCCTCCAGCCCTCACTGCTCCGGGGTCTGGGCCGAGACGCAGGCCGGTCCCCGGAAGCGCCGCTTTCTCTTTCCTCCTCTTTGTTCCCCTGGAACTGGTGAGGCCTGGGGTGCCCAGCGTGTGCCCACAGCAGCGTCCACTAAAGGAGGCCTGTCCGCGCTGGTGTGGACCCTGGACCATTGGCCTGGGCTCAGCGTGGGTGGGTCAGCGGTCGCTGGTGACCGTGAGCAAGAGTGAGTCATGCGTGAAGACGCGTGTTTGTGCTCTCAGGTGTGCACCTTGGGGTTAAAACGGCGCATGCGAGATCTTCCTGTCTCCTTTGTTGTGAGTGGCTGCTGTGACGCAGATTTTCAAGGTCCTCTCCAAAGATGTCAAGCGTTCCGTGCGTTTGAATTCCAAGTCCCCTGTCATTCCAGAATTTTCTGTTTGTCTTGGTGGCGTACCCTCCCCTCCCCCTCCCATCTGACCCTGGCACCCCCCAGGCCTTGTGCCTAGGGCCATGGGTTTTCCTGGCAGCAGATGGGACTTCGTGGGTGAAGACCTCCTGTGGCACCAGTAGCTGGCCTGCAGTGTCTGGCACTCGGCCCCCAGGTGGTGGAGTACCTGACACCCTCTCCCCTTTTCTATTCCTGCCATTCTGCCTTTCAGGAGATGTTCTCTTCCAGATGGCTGAAGTCCACAGGCAGATCCAAAATCAGTTGGAAGAAATGGTGAGTCCAGCTTCCCAGTGGCCCCCTCAGGGGAGGGGAAGATGCGGGAAGGGGGCCATTGGGGTCAGCTAAAGGTGGCTGCGTGCTTTGGCCGCACATCCACCGGGAATGTTCCATGGTCCTGCAGCCACACTCAAAGGCAGGACATACCCTGGGCTCAGGATGCAAGTCACATGACAACCCTGAGGAGCCCAGGGAGGTGACTCACCGTGGGGACCCAAGATGCATGGGGAACCCAGGGAAAAGAGCATGGGCCAGACCAGGTTCTCGTGTTCAGCTGGTCCTGGGGGATCCTGACAGCCCAGCCGAGACCCAGCACCTGCTGCTGATGTGGTCAGGAAGTCAGATTTTCTTTGGACTCTCCCAACTGTAAAATGGAGGAAAAACACACCGTGTTCCCGAATCAACACACACTTTTGGGGTTGCTGGTTTGCTGCGTCCGGTGTAAAGCGCGGGGTCACTGGGGTCCTCCCAGCTTCCGTCCAGGCCCATGGCTGCTGTCAGCCTGTGTCCTCCGGGTCCTGGCATGGGACAGCAGAGGAAGGACGGCTGGGAGGCTGTTTCTGCTTCTCCCGTGAGAAACAGAGCCTTTGTAGCTGTCGAAGGCTGGGATTGTCTGACGTTCTGGAGTGCTGTCAAGCACTCACACCCACAACCTCCTGGCTGCAGGGGGCCCACAAGGCCATGTGGGGTCATCTGCTCATTGGTCAGACAGGCTTCTCACATCCAGGGCGTCCAGTGTTGAGGCTGCGTGGTGACCGCCCGCCCTCCCCGGCCAGCTCACTTCCCCTGGCCCTAGCCTACCTCCCGCTCCCGGCCCCGTGCGTTGGAGCTGACAGCTGAAATGTTTTCTCTCCTTGTCCAGCTGAAGTCTTTCCACAACGAGCTGCTCACACAGCTGGAGCAGAAGGTGGAGCTGGACTCCAGGTACCTGAGTGTAAGTATGCCCTGCCCTCACCTGCTGGGTCACCTGTGTGCTGGAATCCTACCGTCTGAGGGCTTTTTTCCAACTTCCTCCGAGCTTCCCATCTGAGCAGCTCGTTGGCCCTCTGACATTATTGCCCTTTGAGACTGGGTGCCTCCTCCCCCGCGCACACCCCAAATGCAACTCTGGGGGTGGACCTGTCGCACCTGAACTGTGCCTGCCCAGTTCTGGTGCCTGTGCCTCTGGTCCATGTGCAGTGAAGCTGACAACGGGACTGTGCCACGCTCTGGAACCACACGACTCCCTTTGCCCTGCTCAGTGTCACCTTGCTGTTCCTGTCCTTGCCCGTTCCCTCCCCACCAGCTGGCAGGAAGCACAGCCTGCAGCTCTGTCCGTTCTGTCTGCTAGTGGCATTTGGGGGGTGGGGGGTGAGGCTCGGCTGGTTTGCCCAGGTCTGATTTTCATCTTCAGGGAACAGGGAGCTGCCATGGGGTGGGCCCGGGCTAGGGGCTGATCAGCAGGCAGCGTCTGCTGCTGTCGGCCGCGTCAGCTCAGCAGCCCTCGCCGCGCTTCTGTTGTTTGAACCTCAGGCCGCGCTGAAGAAATACCAGACGGAGCAGAGGAGCAAGGGCGACGCCCTGGACAAGTGTCAGGCCGAGCTGAAGAAGCTCCGCAAGAAGAGCCAGGGCAGCAAGAACCCACAGAAGTACTCGGACAAGGAGCTGCAGGTGGGGCCCGCCACCCGCCGCCACGGCCGCCTGCCGCCACGCTGGGACTTGGGCCCACTTGTTAGCAAGCCATGGAGGGAAGAGTCTGCTCGTTTGCCCACAGCCCTCACGCCCTTGGCCACAGGGAGCAGCCCAGGCCCAGGGGGGATTGGGCAGCAGCAAGCCTTGCTCTCCTGGTAGTGTTCCGGACCAGTGCCCCTGCCTTGCTCTTGGGAGCCTCCAAGGGTTGCTGGAAGGTTCTCAGCTGAGGAGCAGGGCCCAAATGAAGTCCTCCTGCCCCTCGTCCTCTGGGTTCCTGCCCCGGGGTCAGGCCCCAGACTGTTCATGCAGTCCGCCCACCCCAGGGCTGGGCCACAGAGCCGTCAAGGGCATCTCGGCCCCAGCAGCTTGTGGCAGGTGGCATTGGAGGCATCTGAGAGGGACCTGCTGTGGTGTTCCTCTCATCATCACACTGGCACAGGCTCTGTGTGTCGAGCAGGCTTGGGTTTAGGACAGCAATGCCTGTAGGGCACTGCGCGAGCCTTGTCCACCTGACACAGGCAGGCCCCAGAACCCCCTCCCCGCGCCCTGTTTGCAGCAGGAAACACCCCAGCCAGTCACCAAGTGGCAGCTTCTCAGAAGTGCCCTGGGCGGGCATAGGTGCGGTGCTGGCAGGTTAGTCCCTGGCTTCTGAGTCCCCACCCTTCCTGCTGGTCAGGTTGGGGAGACTTGGCAAGCGCCGCACACACACCTGCCCAGGTGAGTGTGAGTGTCCACGTGTGTACATGTAGGTGTCCTGTGGTGCGGAGACATAGCTGCCTGCAAGTGCCTCTAGCTTCTCCTGGACCACAAAGCCTGTTCCCACTTGGAGCACGTGCCCTGCTCCCCCCTTGACCATGGGGAAGCCAACGGTCTGCCCAGCCTGCCAAGGGTCCCTGCAAGGGACCATCTGGTGGAGCAGGGTCGGCCCCACAGGAGGGGGCAGGGCTGAGCAGGGCAGGTGGGGATGATGGTAACCCAGTGATCTCCTGTGCGGAAGCGGGAGATCCCTGGAGTCCCTGCTGCTGCCTGCAGGCTCTTGCTCAGGTTCTTGGGTGTGTTTCCCATCTGTGCCTTTATTTAGTGCATCCTCTCCACATCAGGCACATTTTCCCCTGTCTGGCCTTTGTTTGGATTATTTGGATCATTTTTTTAACTAAGGTCCTAACTCATCACTGCCTCTAAGGGCGTTTCTAGCCCGAGGCTGTTCCAGGTGCTGCTGCCATGAGCCTTGTTATTTCTGTGAATTAATTCCCAGCGGCAGGATGGGGTGGAGTAGTACAGACACGTGTAGGTCAGCACATGTGTCTATTTTTCTTTTGGTTTTGCTGTTTTGCTTTCTGAAGACCTGGCCAGCAACAGCGCCCCTGCAGCCTGGGAGAGCAGTAGCGTCCTCCATGCAGGGGTGGGCAGCACAGGTGTAATGACAGGTGTAATTGTGGAGGGAACCCCCGCCCCCAGCCTGGTCCAGGTGTGAGAGCGCATCCTAGAGGGAACCTTCCCTAGGGACTGGTTTGGGTGCTGGAGGTCGCCAAGGCCGGCTCCTCTGGGGGTTCAGCCACCTGCTGGGAGGAGCCGGAAGCCGGCGGGGTTTTTTCTTTCTGTTTTTGTTCTTTAGTAATGGCTTTATTGAGATATGGTGCACAAAGCATACCATCCACCACTTGAAGTGTACGATCCAGTGGCTTTGATGTATTCTCAGAGTCGGGCAGCCACCCCTAGTGTAGAATGTTTTCATCACCCAGAAAAGAACCCTGTGCCCGTCGGCAGTGCCACCCCAGCAGCTGCCAGTTAGCTTTCAGTCTCTGTAGATTTCCCTGCTCCAGGCGTTTCTACAACCGGACTCACATAGCATGAGAGGTATTCAAAAGGTCCGCGGAAGACTGTACCATCTTTCAATTGTTTTTCCGTGAACTTTTTGAAGTACAGTGTACGTGGCTGTGTTTGGCTTCTTGCACTGAGCATGACGTTTCCAAGGTTTGCCTGTGTCACAGCGTGTGTCACTACCTCATTCCCTTTTATTGTCAAATATCGGTGTTTTTTCTTTTTCCATCACGGGGATATGTGAGACTCTGTCCTGCTCAGGGCCAGGGCCCTCTCCCGGGCACAGCCAGCCTGCCCTGTGGCTAGGCTGGCTGGGGGCCATTGTAGGAGTCTCCAGCTGAGGGACAGAGATTGTGGCTGGGACCCTGGTAAGGGTGTCCTGTGGCTGGAAAAAGGCCAGGGCCAGGCAGAGGCTGTGGCCTGCAGGTCAGTTGTAGTCTCTGCTGTACAGTACAGAGCTGTGCAGGCAGCCTGGAGAGTGCCGTGGGTGGCATGTGCCCTGGCTCCTCAGGCCTTTCTGTGTGGGGGTTGTGGACAGGCCACTCCTTGCAGATGGCCAGGCCTGGCTGTTTGCTGTGGGCTGCCAGCCCATTGGGGTCTGCTGCAGGACCATCTTGGTGCCTCAGGGGACCTGGGGGTGGGTCCCATCTGTCCTTCCCACGGGGGCCGTCCCAGCAGCCCCATGTGCAGCCTGAGGGTCAGCTGACTGGAAGCCATTAGGGGCTTGTCATGGAGGTGACTTGATGGGCTTCTGGTCCCACTTTAGCACATGTTGGCTCCGTGGCCTTGGGCGAGGTGGGTTCATTGCTCTCCCTCCTCTGTAGAGCCCAAGGGGCTGCACTCAGGCCTGAGGAAAACTGCAGTGGCTGGGGGTCACTCTGGTGACCTGTAGGTGCCTCTCCCACAGTAAACATGAGTGACCCCCAGCTTAGGAGCAAACCAGATACCTGTCCCTCAGGTTGTTTTCATGAAGTCCCGTCCCCTCGCTCTGAGAGGTCAGCTTTCCTGAGCAGGTGTTGGAGGATGAGGTGCGTTTATGCCCCTCCTGGTCTCTCTGTCCTGGTGGGTCAGAGCCAGAAGTTGGGAGTGACAGGGACATTTTGGTCAGTGGTGTGGCCTGACTGCAATCTGCTGAGCCCAGGGGTCTTCCCAGCCTCTGCAGCTTGGCCTAGGGCACAGGGCGGCGAGGGCAGCAAGGGCACGGGGTGCAGGCAGTGGCCCCAGAGTGGGTGGTGTGTGGGGACCCCAGGACGGGCCACCTCCCTCTGGAGAGGCCCTCCACTGCCTGGGCGCGATCACGCTTGGCGAGGCTCGCCCACCCCGAGCCCGTCCTTGGAGATGTCCGATGCTGACTTTCTTCTTGGGTTCAAGGGTCAGCCTGCAACCGAAGCTTCCCTGGTGGCCTGTCTCCTCAGTGTAGCTGTGCAGCCCCGCATAGCCTGGCCTCTGCCCCACCGTGTGGCTCTCCCTACGTGGGGCCCTGGCCAAGCCGCCTGCTGGCTGCGAACCTGAAGCAGCCCCTGCTCACCCTGTGTGGTCTGCAGAGGCCGAGGCTGGCCTGTCCTGCCCTGGGCACAGCCTCGAGGTGGATGTGGGCTTGGATCCCAGCACTGTCGCTTGTGGGTCATGTGGCTGTGGGGAGCTCTGGATTCTTTCTGAGCCTCAGTTTCCCTGTTTGTGAGATGGGGTGTTTCTATCTCCCTCCTCTGGGCACTGACAGGAGGGGCCCGTGGGGCCTGGGCAGAGCAGGCACCCACCTCCCTGTCTCATTATTTGCCTGGGCCGCCCCTCTGTCTTCTGCTGCTCCAAGCCCACCTTCCTTTTCTGTGGGAAACACCGCTTTGGCCCTTAACCATCCAAGTGTTTAATTTTCCCAGATAACTTGAGTTCCTTCCAGAAGGGCCAGGCCGGGCCCTGTCTCTCTCCTGCATTCCCCTCAGCGCTGAGCACAGGCTGGTTCCGCAGTGGAGAGCCACCTTAAAGGACAAAATCGCAGCGAAATTGCTTAAAGATCTCCATTATTCCATAAAGTAGAGTAAGTGTTCCAAAGAGCCAAGCAGAGGAGGTTGGCTTTGTAGACAGAGAAGGCTGAAGAAAGTAGAAACGTGGACAAAAAGCGGATGGGGGGCCGGCCCGTGGCTCACTCGGGAGAGTGCGGTGCTGATGACACTAAGGCCCCGGGTTTGGATCCCATATAGGGATGGCCGGTTTGCTCACTGGCTGAGCGTGGTGCTGACAACACCAAGTCAAGGGTCGTGATCCCCTTACCGGTTCAAAAAAAAAAGTGAATTGGCCTTTCAGAGTTACTTTCCTGGTGAGGTGGGCGCAGGGAGACAGCGGTAGGAAATGACTGACCGGTCCACCTCAGCCTGCTTCAGGCCATCTCTCTGTGTGAGGATTAAAGCAGGGGCCACTTATTAGCGTAGCTGTTGAAGATTTAATCTGGCCCATTTGGGAGATTGGCTGTTTGTTGTCTTTCTCCTGACTTCTCGGAAGGTCAGACCACAGCCTAAGTGACTGGAACTTAGCAGGGGTGACTCCATTTTGACTTTTAGTCTGGTCTTTTGGGGCCTAGGGCAGGAACTTAGTCCAAAACAATGGTTTCCTATAATTTTTATTTAATAGCCAATAAGTGCTCAATTGTTTCAAAAAAACGTTTTGAGCGTGGGAGGCGGAGTGAGCCACTGACCAGCACGTTTTGCTCTCCAGTGGCATAGATGCTCAAGAGGCCAGGGTGGGGCACTGTTGGGGTCCCTAGCCCCGTGTCTGAGTTTGAGGGGATGGGGTCAGACTTGGTGTACAGCTGCTCATGGGCCCCCCTGAGCTGGGTGGGAGGCAGGCTGAGCACTGTCCTGGGGTGAGTATGAGCTCCTACCCAGCAGTCTCGCTGGACTTCCCAGCCCTCCTGGGGCTCTTCTTGCTGGTTCTCTTTGCCTTGCAAATCTGGCCAGGGGCCAGGGTCTGACTTCTGCTTCGGGGTGTGGCTGCTGGGCCTGGGCAGGGCCCTCGGCAGTTTCAGTTCTGCAGCACCTTCCCGTCCCCTTCTGAAGGGCAGGTGAGCTGGGCTGGCTGTCCCCGCTCCTCCATGCACAGCCACGCCCCTCCGTGCAGACCACACTCCTCCATGTATAGCCACACTCCTCCAGGCGAGACTTGCA